CAGTTTACAACGGAATGTGCAATGCTTTGTATGCGATTAGTCAATGATTGCAGGTTGGTATTTTCATTGATTAATTGATTAGAAGGGAGTGATTGACTGATTGATTGATTAATTTTCGCTGTTTTAGATGCTTACTTATTTAATGGTTAATTTCTTCCCATTTTCTCAATTTTGATATCCAACGTCTGTTGGCAGTGTTTGAACAGCTTTTGTGAGGTAGCATGCCTCTAGCTACAGCTTGCTGTTAAAGCAGTTTAATAAACACACAATGTTAAGCTATTTAAGCTACTTTGGTAATTTTTTAGAAGTTGGAACTAAGATCTAAATTTTATCTTCTTTTTGTTGCCTTAAATCATTAGCATAACAATTTAAAGGCAACGTAAAGGTGTAACATTTAAATGACAATTTTGAAATTTTTCACATCGACCTGCGGTACCGAAGCATTTTCAACCCTTTGAATAAATTCTTATTTACCCCTTGCTGATGGTAAATTTTTAATTCTGTAATTGAACCGATAAAGAGGGAAATCTGTATGATCTTCATTTAAAAATTGAATGGTATGCAGCCATTGTACGAGTATCAACGCTCTTACTTATTCAATTTTATTGATAATGTTATTATTTTCACTCATTTATACTTACTTGTTGGTTCGCATTATTGCAGTGATTTCGCGTCATCTCTTTTTTTATAAATTTCTTCTTTAAAGCCAAAATCTGAAAGTGGAGCAATTGCTGAGTATCACAAATGTTCTCAACTGGTGTTTGTCGGTTGAAGGAGGGATTGTGACTGCGGGCGTTTGCATCTCCTGGCATCAAATCAAATCTTTGCTTGAATATGTGGATAATTTCACGAGAGAGGAGAAACAGCCAGATAAAGAAGAAATCCGGAAGGTCCTCGAACAAACTGTCAACATTGCTAAACGCTGGTTAGATTCATCAAAAGACATCATTGCAACATTTCCTAGCGGACAGGCTCAAGATCTGCATTATTTTTTATGTTGTTGGCTGCTAAAACTGTCGAGATGTCAGAACGTTAATCTGGAAACTATCAGTGCAATATCTCAGATGTTTTCAACTATAAATACTTTATATCCAGAATGGAGTAGCTTGATTACATCCCAAGGAGGAAAAATGGCTGACCTATTGACTGACGTCGCCCTTTTCCATTCTTCCTCAGTTTTCCCAAAATTCAAGATGGGATCTTTAAATGATTTTAAGAATGCATCGGAAAAAGTTGGAGAACTGTTCATGCAGACAACATCACTGGCTTCAAATATGGTTCGTTCTCTGCTTATGCTGGAGGAAGATTTACAAGATACCAGTGCCCTTGTTTCTGTATACAAACTTTTAAAAAGCGATAAGTACCAGAACATCTTGAAGCGTAATTTTCCAGAATTCAGTGCCACCGTGGAACACAGAGAAATCACTTTATCTAATAAAATGGGTGAGTTGGCATTTGTTTTTAAACTGTTCAATGTAGATTTCCTAACTCATATTTGCCAGCATTAAGGCAAACATTCCGTATCGTGTATTTTATGATGCGTAGATATAGCTATTTACTAAAGAGATGTCTTTCTGTAATCTAAGAACATATGCATAAGAGGAGCTTCGTACTTTGCATGAACTCAGAGTTAAAACTTGAAATTTTCTAGGACAATTTTCTGACGACGCTTTTGATTCGCATCTGGATATAGGTTACCATTCAGCTTTTTGTAATTTTTAGATTTTTCACGCTGACGAATGTCGGGCAAAAAACACTTGAGTTTGTTTCGTTCTGTTTCCGTTTTTTAATGATTTTGTAGAACTAAAGACACTTTTGTTAGTTTTCTGTTCTTACCTCTGACGCCGCACAACAGTAATGTTAGATATTATCGTTGCCCCCTTTATGAAAAATATGCAGTTTTAACACAATGTGTTTTTTTAGATTGGCTATGCAGAAAGTCACTTCTCATTTTGCTGGTTGATGCTTTGAAAGGCAAAGAAGATCCTTCTGACGTAACAGTTTTCATGGAAATGTTAACGGAAGATTAACCATAGCAAATCAATGGCTGTACAATCAATTTTTACTAATATGTTACAAATTTCAGAATGATTAATTTTGTAAGATTTTCGAAAATTCAACAGTCACCTACTCTTGTGTTATTGCAGACAGAACGACTTATTGTAAAAGATAACGTTTTTCAATAACGCAGATTGATACAGTTAATTATGACTATTTTCAAGATATCTCCACAGTTTCATTCAATTTCCAAGGAGCTGCAATTCTTATCTTATTGATAAGATTATGTTATGATATGTTTTCATTTTGTCAAGAGCCTTCAGTCCCTAAGATCTGAAATGTTCAGCTTAGCAAAAAGAGGAAGGGAACCAATCTTTTTGTGGCACAGAATTTAGAAATGGCTTTGAAAAAAGCAAAAATTTTGTAACATTTTGCTAAAGCTTTTTGTCTGACAGTCTTCAGAGTATAAAGCATCAGAAAATAGATCGAAGACTATGTTCTATGTTCCTCTTCAGAGGAAAGGAACCCTCTGTTTTATCTAAGGTTTCTTGTTGTTAAAATTTTTACCGTAATTTTTATCGTTTGACCGTAGCTATTGCTGGGTGGATAAGATGTATAAAAAAGAGAAAAATAAAACAGTAAGCGGAAGGGCTTTGAATCTTTCAACATAATAAATGTGACCTCAAGGATGGATATGGAATTCTGGGAGTATTTAATAAATTTGGGTTAGGCTTTCCCATAAGAGTAGAAGAAAAGAACACTAGATTAAAAGATTATATGTTAAAAAATGAAGAAAATGAATACTTGTGATATTTTCAACACATTTAATATTCTGTAGATTGCCAAAAATAGTAGAAAATTTTTAGTGGCACTGTTTGATTTATCAGGCCCAAAAGCTAAAAAGTAGTGGATCGGAGAAAATCAAATAGCTTAAGTTCATGTCATTATTAAATCCAACTTCAATTAAGAAAATGCTTGCACCTGCTATTTCGATCTGGCGACCAAAGGCGGATCTTAGCAACAATGATTGGGGGGGGGGGGTAATAGACACTAATTTTCGTGCCACACTCTTCAGGTCAATGGTAAATTAGGGAAACGCCCATTTTTAAAATTCCGTTCTTAACTTTAAGGTAAAGACGATAAGAAGCAGTGGCGTAGCCAGGTTTGGAAGATTGGAGGGGCGAAGAGCAGAAAATGTTTGCTGACCACACCCTTAAGAATTTAGGAAAACACCCCATTTTGCAAAAGCGTTTGGAAAAGCTATGGCTTTTTTGCGTGGTAATTTCGCTTTATTCAACGTCATATCTGGCTTTTTGTGGCTGACCCCATTCTACAACTGCCTATTTCCTAGACAATTCACCTAACGCTTACATTCTGAATTGTGTAAGGCGAGGAAGCACTACGTGTAAAAACTGATTCTCCACAGTTTTAATCAAATATCTAAAAATAACAAACAGGATTCAAATGTTTTAAACTAATTCCGTTCTCCTTGGAGCAAAATCTCCGACAAGCATTTCAAAATCCAATTTTTTTAAGGATTGAAGCGCTTTAGCATTTTAGTTTCTATTTCATCGGGATTGTCTAAAGAACATGAAAGACTCTTCAATTTTAATGCTATAACGTGGGATATATTGTTGAACATTCTGTAGAGTTATAAAGGAGGGTCCCTGTGCGAGCGAAGCGAGCAGAAAATTTTTGCGACGACGCCCTTCAGAATAGCTTGAAATACATTTCAGAATATTTCTTACAGTCGTTTGCAGTCTTTAAAAACGTTTAAATATTGTCTGAAATATAAAGTCCCCCTTTAAGGTACTGATTCTATTGCAAATTTGCACGTTTCTCCGACACTGACTTTCTGAGTGGCCGCTCCCCTGGCCTCCCCCCGCTACGCTACTGATAAGAAGATAAATACTGATATTGAGGAGATAGATAAAGTAAAATCTTGACGTTAATTTGTTACTGCTGATTACCATAAAATGGTCGAATGGAACCAAATTTACCGAAGGAGACAGAAATATTGGGGAGGGGTGTCGCACCCCCTACACCCCCCCCCCGGCTGAAATTTTTTAAAGGGTTTTTCTTGCCCCACTTAAAGAATTTTTCCACCCCCACTTAGCTTCATATCTCCACTTCATTTCATGGGCTCCTACACAGGTTTGAAAGTAGGGAGGGGGCAAGGGAAAATTTAACGCTCATAACAAAAGATTTTGAAAAAAGCTCTAATATTTTACAAAAAATTGGGGGCCATGAACCCCTCGACTGCCCCCTTTCGTCCGAGGTCTTGTGCATATAGATTTTTGCAAAACTTCCTCAATAAACGCTAATTTGTTGCATTTATTGATAGGTAACAAACATTAGAACCTATCAACCTCTTACCGCAATAATTAATGAGAAACCAATCACCACTTGAATGAGAAACCTTTTCTGACTTATCCATCTGCCCAGATCTTAAGGATACAGATAGGACAAATCATTTAGATCATCATAGATTATTAATTCAGTCAAGTTATTTTCTATTTAACTTAGAAGTTGACGCCCAAACCTTATTTAATTCTTTTCAGAAAAAGGTGCCCCTTAATAATGGCATGTCCCCGTACCAGCAAACATATTAAGGTATCCCCCCCCCCGCGGGCTCAATTCATTCACAGTTAAAAAAATTTTTTAATTCCTTTAATTCGGTCTTCTTTTAGAACCCCTCTTTTTTAGTAAAGGTATAAATCTTTCAGTAGTCCCCTTTTCTATATCTGATCATTGTATGCTATTTTAGCTTCGCGAATTCCAATGCATCAGTCTTTTTAATAATCATGATTTGCATCCCTTGTTGGTTTTATCATTGACATTTATAAGGAATGTCGTCTTTTTATAGGTTTTCTCGCAACGATATGTATGTACTTTCTAATTTGTTTTACCCAATGAGGTAAATTTTTACCTCATTGGTTTTACCTCGTCGTGATATGATATCCCATGCAACATTTCGAATCGAAGGCAATGCCATGGTAACGGCAACAGAAGTAAATTTACAAAATGGCGCGCACAACCACTGGACAGTGCTAGACCAGCGTTATTAATTAAGAGTTGTTCCTTGTAGATACGTTTTGCAATTCAGAGGAAAGTTACAACTGTAGTTCTGTTCCTGAATATTCGTTTGTTTTAAGCTGTTTGCTGTCTAGGAAGAGACGCAGGCTGTATCGGGCCTAATATCGTGTTATGGCAGTCTTCGAAAGTTGAAGTTGCCTTAGATTCACGATACAAAAATGGGGACAGATGTCGTTATTGAGGGGATTCGAGTAAACCCACCAGTTGTTGAATTTCAAGACATTAATGCTGATGTTGTTTATCAAACTCAGATAACAATTCAAAATTTTGGGAAAGTTTCCAGACGGATTCGATTTCAAGCGCCACCTTCTGAGGTATATCGAAGCTACATTATTAATTATGACAGCTACAAGCTCTTCTTTTTTGAGAAACAGTTTTTCTCATATTTTGTTATGAGGATTTGTTCATTTTCCAACAAAGGGTACAGCCATAAACTGCATGGAATTGATTCCAGATACCAAGATTTTTTACTAGAAAAAGATTTCAAAAAGTATAGTTTGTAGATATTTACAAACAATGATGATTGAAAAGTTAGACTCTTAACTTATCAGTTTTTGATACAAATTGCTCTTGACATCAACATGAACAACCCTAAAATTTCTCCATTACACTGTAAATTAAAACAATTTTGGGTATCCGTTGTATGAAAATGCTGTTAAAGTGAGATTTTCCTAGACTGACCTATGCTCCTTTCATTCTGATGTCCCAACCCAAACTCATGATTAGTTTCTGATGATCATTTCTGCATCTTTTAGTTTTCATTAATCAGGTGATATTTTGGTGCCTATTTTATTTTGCAACTTATTTGATTCATTTTGAAGCTTCATTCAATCGTATTATTATCATGTTGCTTCTTTTCAGAAATTCCAGTTACACTGCAAAAATCAAGACAGAGTAATTGCGCCCGGTTTAGAAGTGTCTGCTTTGGTTGAATTCTGCAGTCAACAGCAAGAGGACCATGATTCAAAAATTTTACTTTTGGTTGATGAGGAAATTATTGAAGTTCCACTCATAGCGTATGTATAGCATATTTGAATAATAGCGGACATTTGGCAGAGTTCGGTTGTCTTTTTATCTAGCTTTTTTTTAAATTAATCTAGTTACAAATGAAAATTCTGCTACTGTGTATACAGAAAGAGTTTGTTTTTCCTTGTACTCCAGAGGTAATTTTTCTATAGGCCCATAACATTGATTTGACAACCATGCTGGTCATGTGTTTGCATTTTTCTGATTGACCTATTTTGATCCACAACTGGGTATAATATATATTTTCCATTGTGTTCTTTCAGAATCTTTTTCTGATGTTTTATACTCTGAGGAGTGTCAGATGAAAAGGCTTTTAGTAGTATATTGCGAAGTGTTTCAAAGCCTTTTTAAACATCAATTCTTTAATCATTATGTTTCTGGACATGTTCCAATCAAATCTTATGTTTAATTTTCATTGCAGTTTAGCCCCAAAACCAGCAATGGAAATTACAGGCCCTGTTGACTTTGGAACAGTCATTGCTGATGGCAGAATATTAAGACAAGAAATTGCCATTTTAAACAGAGGATCCAAAAATGGGGCATTCAAACTGTCCTATGGAGGAAAGGAACAGATAACAATTGTTCCAAGACAAGGAATTGTGAAAGCAGGCTACTCACAGCCAATAAGAGTAAGTGTGGAAAGAATTAAGATGCATTCTAAATGCAAACTGGGTTGATTCTCCTTAGACTACATGCATTATTGAATACAATTGTTCGCTCTTTCAAGAGTATCCATATAGACATTTGTAGTGTGTCAGAAAATAGCTACAATCCCAGACAAAAAATGGTTGAGACTTTTCAAGAAAAGCTTATATTTTCACTTTCCTTTCAAAGATAACTTTAAAACATTCATGGTAGATTTGAAATTAAAATATTTCCGTTGAGATGTGGTCAATTCAGCTTGCTTATGTTTCCTGTGTTTTGATATACCAGCTTTGCATTGTCTATGTCACTTGCTTGGATCACAAATTAACACAAAAGATGTGTTAATTGATGAAACATTTATTCCTCAAAATTTACCGTTTTGGGCGAGCAATCAAAGGCTCCCGTCGTTGGTTTTGCGCAAGTGCTGGCGCAATCGCGAGTGATCGCTCGCGTCAAACGAAAAGGCCTGAATAAGAATGGAATCCATTATGCCAGGTCATTAGAAACCAAACAGATAATACCAGGCCATCTCGCCTCTTGTTGCCTCTGTTTTTAACCTCTTCGTATTTTTGTATTTCCTAGTTTCTATTTCTATGTATCTTGTATTTCTTTGTAAGATGTATTTAATGCTTTTTCAAATCATTAATCCTGTTCCTCTTTTTAACAGTTTGAATTTATCAGTAAGAAACCAGGACTCTTGGATGAAGCCATAAGGTATCATTTTGTTTTTTAAAACTTTGTGAAATTCTTAAATTAGTTTTAATCTGACTTGAAAAATAATTAGTTTGTTAGAGAAGAAGTAACAAAATTCTTATTTAGGAAACGTTTATTTGCTCATAAGTCTTATTTGTGAAAAGATAATAATTTCTGTGCCATTTAAATATGAATTTTAATCTGTAGAACAAGTTGCTGAAGATGATTGCGGGTGAAGGGGGCGGGGGTTGCGATTCTTTATGAAATATGGGTTTCAATAATATACCCCGCCTATTTATATTCAAGCGATTCTAAGAATTCACTATCCCACGACATAAAAGCACAACCCCCACCTCTGTACAGCAGTGTCTAGCTTAAAGGGAATTGACAGATTTTGTCACCTCGTGCTTGTGCCTTCTTTGTAGATTATAAAATTGGCTTAAGCCATCTTTCAATCAATATTAGCCAATCGATAAGCGTGTGATTGGAATCACGCTCACTGATTGGTCATTCTTTTATCGAAAGCTGGCTAAAGCCCTTTTAGTATCGGTCCATTGTGTGTTCCTTATACACATTTTTATGTGTTCTTTATTTGTGTTAGTGTGATGATGGAAGGACAAGCACCGTGCGAAGTTCGTGTCATAGCTGACATTGCCAAGCGATCGTTACTTCTCCTTTCAATGGAAAACGAGGAGAAAGTGGATCACGTTGACTTTGGACACACCTATTATGGAACTGATGTTTTAAGATCATGTGTCCTTTTCAATCAAAGCCCGGATCCTGTCAGTTTTGTTGTCATATTGGAAGAAGATGGAGAAGGACAAGAACTGGTGAGGAATTCATTATTTTTTAACAATAAAGAATTTTTTCTATTCAGTTCAAACATGTTTTTAATCTAGTTACGTAAATGACGCTGTGACATACATGACCGAAGAAGAGTACGGACTTTTAACTTGGATCATTGATAAAAGGTTATTATAAAAATGTAACAATAATGAATTAACATAGCAAATGTATTAAATAAGAGACATTTACATTAGACGCTGTGAATTTGCAAAATGTTTGCAGGAATTGGCTTACTCCAAAAATTAACACTTACTCCAAAAAGGAATTGGCAAAGATTAACACTTTACTCCAAAAATGAACTTACAGTACCTTTCTCTGTGTCAACCTGTTTATTTCTATCTGTTTACAAATATCAAACTTGTATTTTCAAATTAATACCGTTTATATATCTGCAACTCCAGTGATCGGGCCAGTTCTTTGTTTTAAGAGCTTTGCACATTTGAAATAATCTATAGAGCTTTTTCTTCAATGAATTTACAGAATAAATTGTTTTGCAGATAGGCCCCTTAACACGTTGAAAGCATAAAACAAACTTTTAACTACATTTCAGGGCGTGGATCTAAGTGTCACAAAAAGTGCTGCTTTCTTGGACACCAGCAAGACCAAACTCAAATATGAGGAGAACGATCTTACTTCGCTTGTCACGGCCAGTCCGACTCAAGGCACCCTGGCGCCGTACGATAAGCGGTTATTACATTTTAAGTTTAGTCCACGCTTCTCAAAGTCAGATCAAGGATGGTTCACAACAGACAAGTCGGAACCACGCCGAGATTATGCGGTGTTTGTGCATATCGATATTGTTGGAAATATCATCAAGCTGGGTGGCAAAACCACCCCAACAGAAGCAAACGGTAAGTACGACGTCACACTAGTCACCAGACTCTTCTGTTAGAGTATCTCGCTGTTGAGACCTTACACTTGATTCAGCTGGCGTTTTGAAATTCTCTGTCTCGGTATGAATGAGACCCTCATGATTATTTCAGAGCTTTAACAATTAATTTCACTTCTTCTTCATTTCTTGACTTCATTTCTTCTTCTTCAATCTTAGAGGAATTTTAAACAAGCTTTTGAAAACGTGTTAGTCATAGAAGCAGTCTATGTTCTAACTTTTCATAAATTTTCATTTGCCGCAAATGTCATCATTCCTTTCTTCACTTCTAGAATCGAGAGTCGAAGTTGCTTTGACTGGCACTGCCTTGCCTGTCTCCTTATCAATATTGCCCAGTCCTACCATTGAATTCGACAACTGCCCAGTCGGCAGCAGCCTGGATTGCAAAGTCACTATTCGCAATGATTCTCCAGATCTTCCGGTTGCCTTCGCAGTGCCGAAATCTGCTCACTTTGTCCCATTTCCACAAGCAGATTGCCTTGATCCCAACGGGTTCATGGAGCTGCTTATCTCTTTTCGGCCTAATCAAATAGGAAATTTTAAACCTAAGATGAACATTGTTGTGCTCGGCTATAGCGTAGAGATTGGTGGAGATTTCAGTAGTTTACCGAAGTTTAAGCAAAAAGCAATTTTCAAATACCCACTGCAAGTTCGTGGTGTGAGCCTGCCCGTTGTTGGCAAGAAAACTGCAAAGTCACTGAGTGCTCAAGGACGATTGTTTCCACAAGATGAGAACGACAGTAGCACGAACTTAGTGCTTTCAGGCCTGGGTACCTCTTTGAAAGTCTTTTGTTCTGATGATACAAATGCAGGCATGATGAGGTCAAAGGCCTCGGGTGTATCTAGCGGGAAAGACTGCAAGAAGACTCCCCGAGACTTCCCTGTAACCATGGCAAGGCCTGATGACTTAGCCGCCAGCATAAGACCTAGTAACAAAAAGGAAAAAGTTTTGTGAGTATCCTTGATTGTAGCTATATAGAAGTCTCAAGTGTGATGTCATAAATATTATTTTTAGATTTCTGTCATTTGACCCATTAACCTAGAAGAACACCCTTGAAAGTACAAAGTCAGTTATTATATGAAAGGTTTTATTATGGTCCTATTAGTACAGGCTCTTTCACCATCAAGCAACTCTTGTTTGGTTACAGTTCAATCTTCTTGAACAAAGCCAAAGTAACAGTAATCTGTTCGCAACCTCAACTTTAAGAGGACTGGCCTCGCATTAAGAATTCAGTTTGGAAAATACATTATCGGATTTTGATCACTATATTAAAAGTTTATTTTTTTCAATAAATAGAATATATATAAATGAACAAGATAACAATAAAATAGGTACTCGATGAACCGTAGTTTAGCATCTTAAGGCTCTTATATCTTATAATTGGTCAAAAGGCAAACTCGAAATGAAAATGAGTACTATTTAGTCTCTAATATTCTGCCACGATATTTGCATTTAAATCGATTTTATCAAAGAAAATTATTTCTCTATATTTCTTCCATGCTTCCATATTCCATGAAAAGAAAGCAAAATCTATCTGGAAAGCGTATCAATTTTATTGACGATTGCTGCAATTCTCTCTGCTAGTTATTTATTATAGTGTTGTTTATTGATGTATCTACTTGTTTTCCAGGACCCAGTTTACTAAAACCGAACGATACACCTACGTAGACCCGGACTACGAGTATAGTTTTGAAGAGGATGAAGAACGTCGCATGCATCGGCAGAAATACGTTGATTACATTCAGAAGTTAAGGAAACAGAAAATTGAGCGAGACAAAGCCTTGTAAGCTCTTCTTGTTTTTTCTAAGTAGTTTATGTTCGTACGATTCCACCACTTTCCTTGAAAAACAAATATTTCATTACTCTTAAATTGTATAAACCGATCAGAAGAATAGATATTTTATAATCGTAAGAAAGCTACGCCATTTTGGCATTTGGTTTTTGGCTCCTTTTAAAAAGAATCTTAGCTACTGTCTAATGCTTTCATGCTCTTTCTGTTCAAGGGCTAAAGACAAATTGTTTCTTTGCATAATATTTTTGAAACATATCAGTTATTTTCAGCTGTTAAATACATGATAATAGTTTTTTGTGATTCAAATGTTTTTTATTTCGGGTAACCTACATTTTTCTCTTGAACTTTCGGCAAATTATTTTTACATTCAGTAAGAATTATTTATGACAAAAACAGCATATAGATAAAGCATTTTCCTCTAGAAATTAGTAATTTTTTTAAGTGGCATTTTGTTGAAGAGGCTACCTTTGCTTTTAGGGAACTGAAGAATCTCGACAACCCAGTGGATATTGGGATGAAATCACATTCCGGTCTGCAACCAACAAAAATTAAGATTGAAGACGCTAAACCTAAAGGAAGAAAAGAAGGCAAGTTTGATTTAGCTAAATGGTCATTCTCTTGTATTTACAAGCTCAAAGAATGTCACTTAGACAGTAGCAAAAAATATCAGATCTTTTTTATCACATGGTACACCTTAAATATCTCGCTGGTAATTGCTTAGTCTCGAGAGCAGCCCCCGTTCCCAATGTCTGGCAAGTCTCAAAAGAGCTTCCTAATTTGTAGTCAAAAAAGCTAGCCCTTTGATGTGAATGCAGGGGTGTTTTGGTGTCTTATGTTCGAAGTGTTCAAACTCATCTCACACGAAGAGGCTCAACAATCTGCCACCTTTATCACTTTGAACTTGCACACGTACGAGTGTTTAAGCAGAAGAAGGCAACTTTTCATTTTACCAGCAAAAGATAGAAGGATATTTCTTGATTATGATCTTCAAGTATTTGCCAAAAAGCAAATTTAAACAGGTTTATACTAATACGTGATCATAGGAAGCATTTCATTAATGGGGGGGGGGGGCACATCTAAGCAAAATAGAGGTACTTCCGTGAGCTGCAAATAGGTATTTTACTCTGTTTCTAAAAAGGATCTTTTCGTTTCAGGTAATAAAATTAATGTCTCGAAACCAGAGAAGCAACTCTTGACTTCAAAAAGCCTTCAAAGTTTGCAGCGGGCAGCAGCCACGAAAAAGGTTTTTGTTTCTGATGCTTTTTGCTTCAATTCTTAGAATGCATGAATAGCAAAATATTCCACTTATGTTCTATAAAATCTTAAACTTAATGGATTTAGATAAAAATTTCTTTGCATTATTTTATTGGCACTTGTAATAAATGATTTTCATTTTTGTCAAGGATTTGTCAGTTTGCAAGATGATGTTGCAAGTAAAGCGAAACAGAAATTGCTAGCATTCAATTTTATCAAATTCACTAATAAGTCTTTACCGCTTTAGGTTGCTGATGGATTGAAGGCTCTCCCAACAACAGCAGCAGAAAAGAGTGATTGCTCCAAGGCACTTTCGCCAAAGGAACTGTACCAAATAGTTCTAGGTACTAAATTTTACATCATTCAGTTGCATTTAGATGGCTAGTGTCGCCTTTTCTGTTATTTTTCATTTTATCGACTCCACTAAATCATTTTATCGGTCCGTCTTTGAATAAATACTGTATGATGTCATATTGTATTAGTACGTTGTCATACCTTTATTGACATTCGTTGACATTTAGATGGTAACAGATGCGGCACAAAACAAAGTTGCTCACCATGAAGTTCCAACGGTATCGCGTAAGCGTCTTAAACCGACACCAACTAGACACGGATTGAAATCTGCCTTGTTACATTATTTTTTCTAGTTTCATGTTTCATTTGAAAATAGTATGTTGCAAACGGGGCCTCAGCCCAGTTATAATGTCATTGCGGCAATATGTAGCTCACTTTGTTCTATTTTTATGATCCTTGCAGAACCAAAAGTGATCGACTTTGGTGAGATCTGTGCGAAGTCTTTAGCATCAAAGAAAATGAAAATAGCAAACAGCCTCAGCTCTCATATTCACATCAAGGCCGAGGTGACTATTTAGTTTCTTTGTTTTTTATTTACACTCTGTGAGCGATATATAACTAACAGCTTTTGCTATATAATTATTAACAGATATATAATTAACAGAATACCATTGGCTTGTTAAAAAATTCTCAAAAAGTGATAATATATATATCATTTTCACAACCGAACGATAGATCCGAAGTTTACACCACCGCTTTTCAGAGCGTCAGGTATTGACTAAAAGGATTTCTAAAGTTAAACCCAGTTGCAACCAGTAGCCCATAACATAACATAATGCTATATTTTTTTATAAGGAGCCATAAATATGATACCAATCCAGCTAGAATACCCCTTCCTTTTTGTAGATCGATTGTCGCGAACTTCGCCAAACATCGCCTCTTTCTCAAGTGGTACCGCCTGGCTGTGTTGCTGCGCTGGAATTTGTATTTGAATCGAACAACCTTGGAAAATTTGAGAGGTTTGTCAAAATTCAAGATGTTGTTTTGAATTATTTGTTCTTTCATTCATTTAATTTCACATGTTTAAGGACGGTAGCCCTTTAGCAATGCTTTTTTCAAGGAGCTCTCACAATAAAAACTTACAAAAATAACGGCATTAAAAAACCTAAGGTAAACCTGTTCATATTATATACATACTCTTTAAACCCTTTTTATAATCTAGTTTATGCGATATAAGTAATCTCAAATAATCTTTTATAATCTCAAATAACTCTATAAGATACAAAAGAAAAAATGGAAAACACCTATAAGAAATTTAACAAGACATTTCTAAGGCTACAGTATCTTCTAGCCAAGTAACTTTTCGTGTTTCAATTGAATCTTCAAAATTTACTAATTTTTTATTAGAATTACTTGCTACTAACTATTCTATGCCAATATGATTTATGTTGTCATGGAACATTCCTTAGTTCTTGTACAGGAGTATTTCTGGTTATTCAAATTATTTGAACCTCATTTTATTTCATTGAAATTACATTATCTACTGAGTTTCAATAATCATGCTATGAAAATAGGTATATTTTTTAACGGGAATAAGTCTCTCAGTTCCAATTCAGCAAATCAAGGACACAATCTTGATGCATTTTCTATTAATCAAACTAGGAGCGTCTCATATACCATAAATGGACAGCATAAAGCCCATGTCATTGTGCTGGCGGAGGTAGTAACTGTTGCATTATCGTTATCCACACAAGAGATAACTGTTTCTCCCTCACCTGGGCTTCCTCCTGAAGCAGGTAAACATTTTAGTACTGTTCGCGTCTTTCATAGTCTTTGATTCTTGCACCAGGGAAATATGTTAAAGTAAATGGATGCAAAACCGACGAATTACGTTGGTTAACAATCAGATTTAAGCATTTGTTGTAATAAAAATTAGCAGGGTGGTTGCTTAAACCTACAAAAAATACCGTTTATTTACATTAGCTATGAACAGCAAGTAAGAAACAGAGTTAATAGAAAAACTCCCATTTTGAGTCGCATACCATTCCTGGGCTTGAAATTTCCATGGCAAATTAAGTTTTATTTGTCTGCTTACACTTTTCTATGAGCCAGATAATTTATACCCAAGCTGAGTGTTGCAGTCTTTACCAGAATCTGATCTCATTCATTTTTTAGCAAATTCTTTACTATTTTCTAGCTTTAATTTCTAAAACTAATATTAATGTAGATTTTTAAATGATTTTCTGTGACAACATTTACAACAATGTTCTGTTGGCCAACGAACTTTTAGCCTTAATCACTAAAATCTCTTTCTTTTTCGTAGTTTTTTTTACTTTAGGACCTTGTCTATACTTTGCAGTTGTTCTTACATTTCTTTGAGCTTTGACCTATTCTGAACGTCAATGTTTCTTTAAATTTTATTCTTATAGAAAAATGTTTGACAAGCAGCACAAAGTGTTTAATCTTGGAAGATAGATGTCGTATCCATTTTTCTGTTCAAACGGCTGCTTCTATTTCATCTTTGCCTGACTTAGGGATTTTTTCATTTGAGATTTGCATTATTGATTTGTAGGCATGAGGAAAACTTTGACTTTGCACAACAACCGCAACATGACAGCCGAGTTCTCTTGGGCCCCTGTTGTTGGAAAAGACGGAACGGCCTTTTCAGTTAGGCCTGCGAGAGGTTAGAGTTCCCATCATGCTATTCACTACTTCCCATCATGCTATTCACTACCCAGGCCTCTGGAGTAATAGTACTTTTAAAATGTTACCAAGCTTAGTTTCTTTTTTATTTCAAGGACGAGGGAGGGTTTTATGTTCTAAGATGAGCTTCTAATCACACCACAAGATATTCATGTCGTGCTATTTCTCTAAATGATTTCTACATTTGCTGAAGCAGATCTCCACCAACATAAATTGCCATTGCTAGCATGTTTATTCAAATTCTCCACATAAGTTCAGTTATACTTTCCCGGAATATCATTTAAAATTAATAACTTCTTTGCCAAAGCAAATGAACGTCTTCCGCTCATCCTTGATGACAAACATGAAGCGTTTCAGATCTTTTGCATCGTTCAGTCCAAAAATTATTGATAAAGAAGCCACGCAAAGAAATGTTTTGGGAAAGTGTAAATTTTGAATATATTGAGAGAGAGAAACCTGATCAGGAGGATGAGACGCGATTGTCCCGTGTATTTATTTTCCTATATCTTCCCTTCATAGTCAAAATTAATTCATTCAGACCGCTATCTTTCCTTCTTTACATTCTTTCTTCAGTTTTTTTGGTGTGTATCGTATATTTCTTATAAATTGATTAACAATAGTCCTCATCATAATCAAATATATGATAATTTCCAATGATCAATTTCTCTTCCTTTACCAGGAACTGTAAATCCGAATTCAAGTCTTGAATGCGAGGTTGTATTCTACCCGTCATACTTTGCACCATTGACTGGTTTGTTCCATTTGAATGTTGAAGGGGGAAACCAATTGGAATTGCATACGGAGGCTGAAGTGAGTTAAAATTGCATTCTTTCCTATTTATTTTGGGATCAAAGAAGGGGGTTATAGATGCCTGAGGTCATGTCTCCTGTTATTTCACCCGATTAACTCGATAAGTTCACTGAATAATTTCTATCTTGTGGAAAATATTGTTGCCTCTCCCCCAACCCGGTGATTTGAAGCACGGTCCCTTTGTTTTTGTCATGCTTTAGATGATAAGTATGTAATTCGTGTCTATTTGGCTGACGTTGTCCGTTAGGCCTGAAGTTGGGGTCTTACTATGACTTTGAAATATTCGAGATGACAAAAAGACAAACAAATCTTCATTCCTTTTTCTTCATCTGATTTGTTTATCCGATTTTGATATTACATTTTGCGGCGTAAGAATTTCCAGCATTTTCCAATACTTTCTGAAATATTGTAAATAATGTCGTTTGAATTGAAGTACGAGAATATTTTTATTGTTCTTATCTTAAAGATTGCAAGAAAAAGCATGTATACCATGAAAATCAAACTGACTTGTTGTTTTTGCATTTTTCTCTAGATTCCCCAGACGTCTTGCTCGTTTGTGGAACACCGTGTCATGTTTGGTGCTGTTCCACTCAATCTTGTCACCACGCGTTCTGCATTCTTGAAAAACACAAGCCAAAATCATGCATATTTTAAGGTACTCATAATGATTTTGATACTAAATTTTATTAACTACAAACTGATACATTCATTTATGTAAGAAACCATCTATAAGAAACCGATCCCTAAGATAAATTAAGAAACCGTTTAGATAATGTGAGGAAAAATGAGACAAATCAGAAAATATATCAAATTCCCTGAAAATATGTCATTGGAACTCAAATAATTTTTTTAAAAAATTACGTTGCCTTAAGTCTCATTTAAATCCCTTATATTTTTTATTCTGATCACTATGTTTGGAAAGAAACCACAATTATTTCCAGTGGCACTTCTGTCCCATTTTACCCAACATTTGGATCTCATCATTTCTCCGATTCTTGCAAATCTCAAGATGGCGGCTGTGGATATCAAAGGGGTGTTCCTCCGACACTAATGATTCCAAATATTTCATCGTCTTGATAACAAATTATAATTTTGTGAAGAAACAGGATTTTTCATAACAGCTTCTTCTTTAAAATGCTATATTTGTAGTTAGGTTGTGGTATTTGGGGAAGATTGCCAAAAAATTGCATCATTGAATGCTATTAGCCTTTTACAAAATCAAAAGGTCTTGAAATTATGTATTTTTTATCGCAAAAGGACCCTAAATTTATCCGTATGAACGACAAGGTTAAATCGTTTAACTTGTCTCTCAGCTGACCTTATAATTCGAAAATATTTTTTCAAACCATGCTCGAACAAAACTTTAGATTTAAGCTAGTCCATTCTCTCCTTATTTTTCTATCTAAATGATGACAATGACTTGACATGCTGTAGGTGGTTGATCCGTCACCAATCCACGGAATGACAATTACACCCAGGACGGGTGTGGTTCCAGTTGGAGGAACAGCAGAGCTGCTGGTAAGAGATCATCAAAGTAAATTTATCATTTGGTATACTTAAACAACATTTGGTATCCTTTAAGATAGAATCCGAGTCTAGATAAGTATTTATTCTTCCTCGTGCCAATTTTTTCATGCTTTGATAACATTGCTCAGATAAATAAAAGATTAGGCAAAGTTGTGGCATGGTACTTTCATTTCTCATGTTTTTACTGTGCTTTTCCACACTCTTTGACAGCCAAATTCCCTGTGCTAAATAGAGATAGTCGTTGTTTTTAAGGTTCACTCAAAACCTGGCTAGAATCTTTAAGATCATTATTGTTTCATATCTGATCTTATATTTTGAATGTTGCTTTATTGACAGGTTAGCTATAAGCCTTTGTCAGTTCAAAAATTTGACACACAAATTGAAGTTGCAGTTAGGGGCTGGAAACCGATATTCCTTCGCTTAGGTGGCCACGTCGAGCCGCCTTGTGTTGATATTGACTTGGTTAGTATACAAACTATATTTCTATCATTTTTAACTTATGCGGTGAACGCTTTCTGTAGTATTTTATCTCATGGTATGCTATTACTTTCTAGAGGTGAATCGTTCGAAAGTTTTTCAATAAAGAAAAAACCTCTTGTTTTCAATTTATTTGTTTGCTGTTATAGGATGTCTGTAACCCGAGGTCTGCCACATTCTTGTGAAAGTTAACTGACAAAGCTAAAAAAGCTTCTTTCTGACAAGTTTTTGAACTGAAATTTTATGTTTTTTAGAAACTTTTAGGAGTTTTAAAGCGCATTTGAAGTTGTTATCGGGTGTCAAATGGCACCCTATCCAAAACTGCGCTATTAAGTCATTAAAATGTAATTTGTAAAAAGAAGTAGCTATGTATTTTAATGTATTTAACTTTGAAAGAAACGTGTTATTTATCTGTAAATTTTTATGCAGATTGATTCTATTTCTTATTTCTCATACAACTTCCAGGAATCGTTCCAATTCGGAGGCATCTACTGTGGAGCCAAAGCTGTCATTCCATTTAAACTGAAAAATCTGGTACGAGAACCCCATTCTTGTTAATGTTTGTCTTTAATGAAAGATGCTTCTAAACGAGACGAATTTATCATTTTTTCTATCCTACTTATTAGTGATCTTTCATTCAAATGTTTTAAGTTTCATTATCATTAAATTCAACTTTCGCCTTTCATATTGAATAACTGCTTAATTCATATTCACCTAGCATCTGTCCAAAACAGCTTCTTAAGAAATGCTCAGGATATTTGAAACTCATGATGTCATATTTTATGTTTCTTCAATATGCTAAAAAATGTTTATTTTCTTTTTTATTATTTACTTTCTTTAGGCGCGATCCCGAGCAAAAATAGCCTTCGACTTGTCACGCCAAAGGGATTTCTTGCTGACCTTCGGTGAGTTTGGTGATGCAGGTCAAGAAATCCCAGATGCAGAGGGCTGCTTTGAAGTTGGTCTCATAGGACAGCAAGAGCTGCAGTGCTTCCTTGAGTTCAACCCCGTTGAGGTTAGTCTCTTAACCCATCCCATTTCTTGCTGGAATCTTCACTTCTCAAATTGCCTCTTGAGTTTATTTATCCACATTGTGACGTAATCAGCCACGTTATCAAATAAAAAGTGATTGAATTTCCCCTTCGATTAGCAAATTGAAAGTTGTTTTTGCTGTTTCGATACCACATGGTATTGGCAATAGCAAATTAAACGATTTCATATTCCATCAAAACATGATGTTTTGAAAAGATTTCTCCCCACCTAATTAATCTTGTATAATTTTTTTGAAAAAATACCTTGCTTAGCAATAATATCGTTCTTTTCTTTTTGATATCGCATGGTTTAGGTGCTTGTAATCCACTAGCGCATTTTCTAACTCAATTTTTTAAATTTATTTTTTATACTCTTTGAAGTAACTTTATCATTAAATCCTTCAAATAACAACTTTTTTCTTTCCGTTCTTTTATCGCTCTCGTTTTTCCATTTGCAGGTTGCGTCGTACGATTTTATAATTCCAGCAGTTATAAACCAGACCATCGCCCCAACACCACCCCCTTCGCCATACCCTGCATCTGTGGCAATGTCAAAGTAAGTTTCGTCATTTCGATTATCAAAAACAGTTTATCCTTTAGTGCTAGCCCGTATTCATATAAGCTACCAACAAAGTTTATGTTTGAACTGAGCGGTCAAAACTCGTGGGCTAATTGTCGAAAATGCAGATTTTCAGTACTATTGATATTCGAAGTTTTTATGAAGAATAGCTTCTTAAACTTTCAATATATAAAACCTTCTTTTTGAGCAAAGGCGAAGATCGAATATTTGGTAATATATGATACCCAACAGCTGACATAGATTTTTTTAAATTTTTATTAAGAATTTTTTTGCTCAAATATTAGGTTAGACGTTTTTTAAGTATGAAATTCAAGCTCTTTTTGTGTGGGTTTACCTATATGTTTTTACTGTACATATGCTGTGAGAAAACAAGTCCAAGACTTCAACCAACGTTGGTAGCTTGTAGAAAATGCAGATGCGGTCAATGATGGAGCTCAATGGGGTTTACTTTGCAAAAATGTAAAGAGCACTTTCGTTAATCAATGCAGTACTGTCATTTAATACTTGTTAAAAAGGCTCAAGAGACCTTAAAGTGCCTTCTATCGTCGATTTCATGTACCGATGTTTTCTTTGCAGACCAGGTCACGTCTCAGAGGATTTTGATGGATATGAATCAAAAAGAGTCGCCCAGTTTCCGACCCCGAGTCGCCGTGTTCAAGGAACAGCATTAAGGGCCCCCTTGCAAGTTTCAAGCACTGAAATCAACTTTCATCTGCCATCTGGCTACCTTGAAATGGGCATTGAAACTTCTGCGGGAAGAGCTGCGGTATGTTTCGCGTTTTTCCTCGGGTAAACATTGAAATAAGCGCTGTACAACAGTGTTATTTTTTTTTCACTGAATACAGTACCAATGCTGTATCATGCAAATTTTTCTTATAACTGTGCTCTTATGACTCCTTCTTAAATTTTCGTAGGGTATCATGTTTGTCAACAACTCCAGTGCAAATTTAGTGTGGTGTCTGAATATTGAGAATGCTGGCCCGTATTTTGAAGATGGCACGTTCCAGCTTTTACACCGAACTGGTTCTCCGTTTCAACTGACGAGAGAAGGAAGGTCATTGTCTTTCCCTGAAACTGCAATGTATAGCGGCGAAACATCGCAACTTGGGATCCTTTTTGCTCCAAGTAAGCTGGGTTATGTCAATAACAGCAATAGATTTTGTAGATCAAAAAGGTTTAACACCTCCTAATGCTGCGTGTTATGATATATTTTATTTGAATTTAGGCCAATTCTTAATATTTTGTTTTGTGGATATTGTATTTATTTTATTTCTCCAAACCTGTTCAAGATTGGGATCTCCGGTATGGGAAAGCAGAAGCTTTGATGTCAGCCAGATTAACGGAGCTAATCTTTTCTTCCAAATTTTCCTCGTTGTATTCTAAATATAGGTAGGTGTTCTGAATAAAACTGTTTCTAAATTTGCAAATTTGACAGTTTGATGATGATTATTTTAACAGGGGAACCTGGAATCTACGAGGCAAGCATCCCAGTCATAATGAACGGAGACATCGAACACCCTTATCGAATGATTCATCTGCATGGTGAACTTGAAGCCCCAAGCATCAGTTTTGACCCCACTGCTATTCATTTCTTCCCGACTCCATTGCGCACAAAAGCAACAATGGATTTCTACCTCATAGCAAAAGGATACAGAAGGTAACCTCGATGCATCATCTGTTGCTTCATTATTTTTCTTTTCTTTATCTTTCAGAAAATAATGCAGTTAAGTAAATCTTGCAGGTAGTACTATACTTCATAAATCTTCGATCAGCCATGTTTCAAGATTACCTTTTTAGTGGGGTGACAAAGGGGTATATTTGAGCCTTGCATTCAAAGTAAGGAAACAATGAAGCAAAAGTCAATTTCTAACAACTCCTTTTCCAGGGTTGTGACTGTCAAATGCATTGTCCCAGAAGTAGAGCTTGAGGATGGCAGCGAACTTCGTGTTCTTGATGTCACATTTCCAGACGGTAACATCATCCAACCTTGCTGTCAAGATTTTGGTGAAAAAGAGCCTTTTAAGATGCTTTGTCGGATATCCTTCGAATCGCCTAAACCAGTTTCTTTTAGTACGGCTATAGAATTTGTTACGGACCAAGACAGGTATGAATTACTAACACGAGTTTATATTGTTCCTTTGGTTGAATTTAAATCTTACAAGTGTATAATTTCTTTTCAATTCAGAGTTTTGAGAAGGGTCCATCCAGCCTCGGACATTCCCCTCAAACTCTGGAATCTTTTCTAAGAAAGCAGAGGCTATTAGCTAGGGTTTTGGTGTTAAATTCATTTTTTTTCTTTGGTCTATATCACGATCATTGTTGGTTTGCCATGAGATCACAACTATAGTCACAGCGCATCTACTGGCCTGAATGGTACGCAGTTCATATAAACGGATCAACTTCTTAACACAATTTTTTTAGTGCTTATTTCAGTGCAAATATTTATCGAAGAAACTCCTTAATGTTTCTCAACTATAAGAACATTAGAACCTCATATGTTCATTCCTTAATTAATACATTTCTTTATTATATAGACATCCCCTGCATGTTATGGCTACAGCAGACAACTGCATTTTGTCGTGCTACAAATTTCTAGCAACACATCAGACTGACTTTCATATCATCTGTGAAGAGCTTCCGGGTAAAGGAAAAGGAGTTCCAGGAATTGCTAGCAAAAAGGAGGGAATCGCCTACGGGGATGCCATGCTTGTTCCTTGTGTATCAGCCATCAAATCGCCGACCGAAAACTCAAACATTACAACAAGCACGTCATTCGGTCTGAGTGTTTCAACCTATCCGGAGTCTTCGATGTCATCATCAACTGCAAGATCGCCTACGGATGATAACAAAGGTAGTTAGCCTTCATTTTTACGTTTCCCACCAAATTTTTTACATTTCGTGGCAAGTCATAATCGAAGTAAACTGAACGAAGTGTTGATATGCTTTGCTTTATCCTGATTTACTTTAACAATTTCTGAAATGCATTTCTACCAAGATGTCATTGTATTTGTTGTTACAGTTGTGTTCAACCTTTCTTTGGCAATATTTTACTATCAAACACATCTTTCTGAGTTAAAAATCAAGTGGCTGGTAATTTTTATAGGGAGGGAAGAAAATCTCGTTGGCAAATTTATGATATTCTAGTTAACACGCAAATTTTGTTCTTGTTTTCATGCGATTGATCGTTTTTCAAAATATAATTAAGGATTTGATTTGATTTCGGTCATTTATTGTCAATCTCTTTTAGAAGAAGAAGAGCACGAAGAAACAACAATTCCTTATGAATATTGTGGTACAGAAGACACAGCTGAAACGGAGGAAGAGAAGTATTTGAAAGATGTCATGAAATCAGTGCAAAGGTAGCTCTTCGAATGCCGTTACTTGTCTGTCAAATCTCTCTCGTACTCGTCAAAAACCTTTTGTTCATTGGAGATTTTGTTCATTTGACGAATGCCATTTTGGGCTCTTTGTCATTTATTTACAGCGCTCAGTGTAAGGACGGAACAATCTCGGTTAGCAACAATAGTTGATATTAATTTGTCACATGGTTGACATAATTCTTGATTTATTCTACCATTAGAGACAAAGGAGGAGCTTGATTAGTTCAGTAATATTAATTCTTGTGCCTTTTTCAGATGGTACTCTTCTCAAGCCTGGTCAAGCGGTCCTAGCCCTATTATTTTGCCCCATTCATTAAGGTCCTGTTTTGGCCCTGGGCTGGATGATGGGGGAACGACTAGAGCTGGAATCTGGAGCCGGGAGAAGAAAAAAGAAAACAAGACTGTTTTTGATATTGTTACCCATTTATGTGGGAAGGCGATTCCGGGTATTCCAATCAATGCCTCTGTGCCGACGGAACCATTCGAAAGGACCAAACACCTGCACTGGATGTACGCTACCCTGCTTACCTTTTTAAGGTTGGTTACTTTATATATTCCTGTCACTTACAGACCAGGGTGTTTTAGTGCCACATTTGCCAGTTGACTAGTGGTTTTTTATAAATGCCAATGTTATAAGTATTACTGTATCGTTGATGACGATGTGAAAAGGTTCTTATGGAAGAATATGTTTAAGAATCCAGGCAACTAGTTATGAAGTCACCACTTATAGGTTACTGAAAATGAATTGAAATAGACCAGATACTTTTGAACTTGTTAAGGAACCTGCATTTACTCAAAAACGAAGTTAAGTCTTATTTCATATGGCTGTTGAAACCTATTTGAAACATATTTCATAAAACTATAAGACCCCATTGCAATCTAGTCTTGTTGCCATCCCTCCGTTTTTCGTCTGTATAGAACAAGACATTATCACTTCAATGTGACTGAAAAATGAAAAACCCTTTTAAGTTGATAGCCAAAATTGCTTCAAAAATGTTTTCTTTTATCCGTTTGGATGACAGAATAAAAGTGTATTGACAACGGTTTTGAATTGTAAATGACTCATATTTTAAATTAAACCTTTTAGGTGCCAAGGAGCCATGGTCGCCTCTATTCTTCCAGAATATCTACTTGACAAAGAGGATTTCAAGAGATTGGTATTAATGCGTAATTCTGAGATGTCAAGTGCCGGTGTCAGGTTCTCTGCACGAAGTTTACAGAGGGAGCAGGAGAAATACGAGACCTTGTCAAAGCATTCCTGGACAGATCTGCTACTGCAAATTATCAAGGTAGGGTTGCTTTGCGACGCAAGAGTTTGCTAAACAGAATAAATTATCGTTATAAGGAACGAAACACATACTGAATTAAATATAGGAACGAAGATACAAATATTTAGTTTGTTGATAAACCCTTGCTATTTTAATACGGGCTAGCTGATGTTTATTTAGACAGAAGTAAAGAACAATTTCAGAAAGCGCTCTTGTCAAACACCTCAGAGATCGAACATGTTGAGTAGAACAAAAACTCTTTTTAACAACTATTAACTTTTTAAGACTGCTCGGTATCGTTGTTATTCATCCTCAAAGTGAGTAGCTTTTTGTAATTGTTTTGCTTTTTCTTGAATCAAAACCTTTATATCGATTGACGCATAGGTTTAATTGCTCAAGAAACATAATATACTTAATCAATACTTTTCAAAGTTTATCCAACTGATTCATAAACTAAATCTAAAATCATTTTGTTTGAATTGATTCTTCTATTTCACAATAACATTTGCATTTTAAGCAATTTTTTATCATTTTTTTCCAATTCATTCAACAGGTACTCGTTTTAAACAGAATCACTCCACAGCAATATCGCAAAATTGCCCTTCCCAGCAAAGACTCCTTGCTACCAGTCTTGAATGCAGATCCGTTGAGTAGCAATGTGTTTGGTGTTGGTGAGCGAATCATCCTGTCCTGGGTGAATTATCACTACCAACAGCAGAGATCGGCTGGCCTATGGAAAACCAGCGTCGATGGTGAGCCTTTTATTTATAAACCTGGAGAAACTTTATCGGCAGGTATTTGGGAGTTAGGGTCACCCGAATTCGATATGACCAAGAAATTTATGCTAAAGTCGAAGGATGTGAGAAAGTTTCTTATGGAAAAAAGATCAATTGAGTAAGGCAATTGGAAAGTTCTCTGCCCTAATCAGGCAGTCACCCGCCCTCCCTATCTGAGTCAAAGCAAACAATTTTTAGCACCTTACAAACATTGTTTTTATAAGCAATCCTTAGTCTATAGAATGTCTGTCTTCATTCAATAGATGGCTTCTTAATATTGCTTTTGCTAATTTTCTTTTATAAAGACGCACTTATTTGTAATACCGCTGCCTTGATATTTTCTGTATTGGATGCCTGCCATTCAGGGGCGGAGACTTGGTCAAATATTGGGGGGCAAGTCTATTGTTTTAATAAGATGACGTCATATTTCCCATTGTTTTAGAACACAAGACTATTGTCCTCTAAAGTATTTGGGGCGGTGCCCCCCCTCGCCCCCCAAAGTGTCCGCCACTGCTGCCATTGCAGCTATTTTTGTTACTGAAGTAACTTTATCTGCTACTTCTGCATCTCTTGAAAAACTCAAATTTTCATCTTTCTAGGGAAGACTCCCTCATCAAGATGGATTGTCAACTTTGAAAATGATTTCTTGGATGGGCTTGTGCTGGCCTCACTAATCGCTGCGCATACACCATTCATAGTAAGAAAGCTCTCTTTTGTTTTCTCTGAAGACCAATCATAGTAATAAGAGATCAAGTGTATTTGTGTAATGGCAAACCACCATTACACACTACTTTTTATAAGAATCAAGTCTATAAGAAAATTGAGGCTCAAAATTGCTAAAATTTAAGAAAAATTTAAGAATAATGCCAGGCTCAACTTTCATCAAAACTTTTTCGTAATCTGAGTTTTCTCCCAAAACAAAACAACTGTCATCTTGACATTTATTATGAAGCAACACATAAAAAAGATTTAATATTTTTCTTTGATCATAAGGCGAATTTTCACCTTGTGTTGGGCAAGAATAATTTAAGAATAATCTTAGGCTCAAAATCGAAAATTTTTAAGAATATTGAGACTCGGCAAAAAGTTAGGTATTCTTTTAAAAAAAGTGTGTATGGTTTCTACCCGTTGATCTTCATTAAGATGCTGTGATGATCTTTGCGACTTTCTTTTTCACCAGAGTGTTTTGACAAATTGCTTCAGTCCTTTTTTGTCATAGAGGTTTTGAATTTATGATATTCAATCACAAAATTCAAGTATGCAAGCATGTTTGTCTAAACTGTGCACAGGAGTTCCTTTAAACTTGTTAGTTTAAAGCCATGCCAAGGAGATGCCAAGGAGATGCCAAGGAGATTCCAGAAACACTCTTCATCTCCTAAAGCCATAGTTTGTGGATTTATATGATTTAAAGTTGCTAAAATCGAAAATAAAAAAATTAGTAAAACCTATGAACAAATTGGAATGGAAAGATACTTAAACCAAAAGTCTGTCGTCCTGATTGTTGAATGCCTAATTTTTCAGTTTTATTAATTTCATTATAATGCATAAATTCCTGTTTCAGATTCCCAAATTCTTTGCATCGATGTACACACACCCACTTACAGCGGAACAATGCCTGCATAACGCACTAAAAGTTGTCGAGGCCATTCGGTATCTTGGAATGGATTATGATGCAGTGGTGAGTGTTTTATAATTAATACCTTCCTGTCAGAAATTTTAGATATTTTTAAATTTGCATTTTTCTTGTTTCTTTTGATTTGAATTATTTTAAGTATATTTTTTCAATTGTAACTTTTTAACATAATTGTTAACGCCAATTTTGATCCTCTTCTTTATTAAGCTCCTTTTCAATAACTCCTTTTTAAACAGAAGCTCAAAATAAGTCTCCTTTTTTGCTATCCAGCTACGAGTAAAAGAGCGACTACGTGAAAATTTTATAGAAGTTTTATTTTTTTTAATTTTTAAATAGAAATTTTATAACTTGACAGGGTACCAAAAGTAACAGCAATTCCTTAGTAAATCAAAGGTATTTTACTTGCAACATCTCATCAGATTTTGAACAAATTTAAGTTGCCGCTCACGGTCAAAATTCTACATATTTACATGTTCACAGTCAATTTTATGACGTCATCTATCTATTGGCGAAACTTCCTTTCCAAAACGTGCACGGTATTCTTTTTCTGTTCAAATAAAAATATTATTTTTCATCTCAACTTTAGCGAGAAGGGGCCACACTTCTTCAAGTGTTTTTTCTATTTCTTATGAAACCATTCTTACATATTTAGTAGAAGTAGTGGAGTTTGTTTATGATTTTATGGTTAACTGCATTCAAGTTTTGTCTAATTTTCAGGCCACGGACATCACAGAACCGAATCCCATTAGCATGTTGATGTTGTGCATTTATCTATACCATCGCCTTCCGCATTACATTCCAAGGTCGAAAGTAGAGTTTACTGGTCCATTGCATTCTGACGTCACAAAGCAGGTAACATCCAAATTATGTGTTGTCTGTGGCACTTAACCATTTCGAATGTTGTTGCTAATATTGGTTTGCTACATTGGACTGACTTGCTGTTCTGTCACAGTCAGAGTTTTGAATAGGAGAATCATCTGATCTGTATAAATAAAAGTGTTTTTTAATGCTGGCAACTGATCAAAGAAATGATGCAAATTCTGATGGCTGTATTCTGTAAAACTGTCTACAAATGATTGGAGACAGTAACTTTGTTTCCCACATATTGTTTTTGAGATACCCCTTCGTTTTAGGTCAAACTGCAGAATCCAAGCACAAAGCCTATAGTTTACCAAGTCATAATTGCTGGAGACCATGCTGCCGATTTCAATGTCCCATCAGGGCGAACCATAAAGGTATCATTCTTTCACGTGTATCAAACATGTCTTTAAAATTCTTTGTTGATTAGATTCTCTTGATTATGACATCGTTCCATCTGTGACCCAAACCTCTCTAAAAGGCTTCAACCCTGTGTGTATGTTTATCTACCTATCCTGGGTAAATAAACTTTCTAGTAAAAGATATTAAAAGGCGGAGCTAAGTTGTAGTTCATTTCTGATGTTTACTTTATTAATCTATTTATCGTTTGTATTCAAAAGGTTCCACCAAAGGGACAAGTCCAACTTCCAATTGAATACAGAAGCCGTTTCCTTCGCTCCTGCTCAGCAGTCCTCATTCTTGTTGGTCGCAGAGTCGGCTCCCAAGTTGGGTCAACCCTCGTCTTCAATTTAGTAACATCCGTAAACAATATCACACCAATGGTAAGTCGACAATTATAAGACGTCTTAAAGGTTTTCCACGCAAAGCCACTGAATAAACTAAGTTTTTGACAAGTGAAACTTTCATCAGGTTTCATATCTACAATTAATCCTTAAAAATTTGCCAATAAGTCCATGTTATATAGTTTATCCTCTCCTCCAAGAGTAACGCTGGCTAACAGACTTGTTTATTTTTTATTTTTTGTCTACCTAGCTTTCAAAGGTAGTTTCGGGCACTGAGTAGTTATGCTTACCGACCAGTTTCCAAGCCCTTGCTTTCAATGTGACCACACCTCTTGATTTCTATGCCTGGAATTACCGAGAGCTGGCGACTCTCCTCACTCTAAATGAAGGCTTGTTACGACATGGGGTCAAAACCTGGACCATTATAAATCACTCAATAAAATCCACTCGCTAGGGCCATAATAGAAATCTTTCGGATGTCGAAATTGAATCCTATAGAAGTAAAGAACAAAGGCCGTTGAGAATGCGCCAAAAAGTATTGAGATTATCCAAGTATTTTTTGTTTGTATAACTGATGCTTAAACGCAGCCTTGGTTGATTAAGAACCAAGAATTTAATCAACATCATAGACGATTAAGGTTACAGACCTGCTATTGTCTCTTTCAAACATTCACGTCGTGGATGTTGAATTTAAGCTAAGAAAGGTTATTTACAATTTGCTGTCCAAAATGTGAATCGAAAACTTTTATGGCATCAAATATATTGCTGGAAGAGAATTATAAACAAGACCGAAATTCCATTTTTCTGTTTAATCTCTTTCTCAGGCCTCCATTAAAACGGACTCTCCATGCTATGAGCTCAAGAAAATAAAGATTGATGTGAAGAATCCTTTTAGCAAAGAAGCGGACTTCAAGATCATTTTAGTCGAGGCGAAACCTAATTTGCAAGCTCCGTCTCCACAAGCAAAGAAGAAGACCAAACAATCTTCTTTGAAGAAAGTCGAATCGAAAATTGACCATGGGTAAGTTTTTATTTTCATCTTTCTTGCATCAATCATTCAGTCCTGTTTAATTTTTCTGCATAATCTATGTATTGGAAATATACCTATGGATTTTTGCTCTATCATTGAATTTTCTGACTCTTACTGAATAGATTGCATCTGTGGTCTTTGACAAAGTTAATATGGTTTTGTTTATTGGTTTTGACAGAAATTTTATTCAGCTTGCTGCGTATTTGACACAATTGTATTTTCCTTGCAAGAGAAGTAAGGAGATGACTCCTAATATTTCAAAATCTCTCGTAGCATCAAAAGAAAACCAGACCTAAAGAAGAACGAAAGCTTGGTAGAAAGCCGTGATTCAGCGCACAAAGTTGAGCAAAGTAAGCCAAAACTTAGGCCAAGCTATTTCAGCTTGTAATTTACCAACCCCTTCAGTAAATTTCTCTTTCAAAAACTTGCTTAGTAGGGAGTTATTTACTCGTCATTCACTTTTGTCGAGAATCCTCACTTGAAGTTGTCTACTGCTTAAAAAAAAGTTGGTGCATGATGATTTTGACTGACAGCTGTGGTTTTTTATCTAAGCAGCACGTATAATCATTATTATCTTGATGTAATCTAGATTGTTAAATAATTTTGTATGTGATTTAGGTTTCCTTGATAGAGAGTCGATAAATTTTTGTGTCAATTTATCAATTTCATCGTTTTTGTTTTAGTGGACAATATTGAAATGAACATTAGCGCTTTCTGGTGCCCAGTGAAGAAAATTTGCATCGAACCGTATGGAACTTCATCCCTCGAGGTCCAGTTTCTGCCATTTTCTATTGGCCATCGTCAGTGTTCCGTGCTTTTCTTGAACGAGGATGTTGGTGAACTTGTATACTCAATCGAGGCTGAATCGTTACTTCCCTTGCCATCTTCGTTGCCATACCAACCGTCATCACACAGTGTAAGGGTTAGCAGTGCCTCTGCGGCGGAGCGTTGCCGTGGATTATTTGGCGGTGATGATCGCGTTGTTTACTGGCAGTGTAGTGTGGAGGATGAGATTGCGGAGGAGATTTTGTTGCCTGTTATTAACGAAGCCAAAGAAAAAGCTTTGAGTGAGTAGCGAATTCTGAAAATATAATCATTTCATTCTTAATTTTGTTTAGAGCTCGAGTACGGTGATGGTATCAAAAAACCTTATAAGCACGAGCCAGCCGCGTCAACTCTTAAACTTTTATTATAAAGTTATTAGATATTCTTCGAACAGAAAAGATTCAGTTTACATATTGATTCTTCTGAACAACTCTTTTCACAGCGTTCAAATTAACGTGTAAATTCCGCTCAATTTTAGCCATAGCTGCGCAGCAACGTATGTCCGAGAAGGAGCTTCGTCGCCGTGAAATCACTGGGAGTTTGTCAGTAGCAACAATTGCAAATGCATTGCAAACAATGGGCCTTTCGAGTGAATCGCTTGCCATCACTTCTCCTTGTTCACTTGCGCATAAAAGTGAGACAATACAGTTTGCAATAGAAGGAAACTCAAAGTTTTTCAAGTTGCCAAAATCGTGCGATATAACTGTTTCTAACAACAGAAAAAGTGGTAGGTTTTAGCAGATTTTGTTAATGGATGTCTCCGCAAAATTTGATTTCGAAGGCACTGCGAAGCCGCTGTTGCTTTTCTTATAAACGATACCTGTAGCTATGTGTATTACCAAATTACATAGACTATAATTGAAACGATTTGGATTTCAACGTTTCTAGCAGAAGGGTGAATCTGCAAAGATACACCTCCTTTCTTCTGACGGATAAACAGCTGAATAATTTTCAACGATCGAACCACCATTTCCAGGCATTGTCTTACTAAATACATATTAAAAAACCTACCTCATCGTCAAATGTATTATATCGAATATCTATCTTTGCTTTTTTCTGAGACCGATTTTGTGGATGTTGAAAGAATTACAGAGACAAATATTTCTTTCATAGAACAATTTATACAGATGCAGATACTCCAAAAGATCTTTTAACAAAGCAACATTGATAGTTTGTGTTGGTTGATGCAACAACGGCTTTGTTGTTTCTTCCAAATGTAAAAGATAACGACATAAAATATATTATATTCCGTTTTCTCCAACTCCTGCCCCTCTAATGCACTTTCCAAAGCCAGTCGTTTTCCATGTGATCTCTAATTATCTTCAGATTTGTCATCTCATTGTTGATATAATTGTTCCACATCTAGACGACGACAATGCAAGACTGCCAGTGGGCTTTGTTCCTGAAGGGCCTGGACACTACCAATGCCGCGTGATTCTGAGGGCGCCAAATGACGTGCGCGTTTATCATATTGAAGTAACTGTCAATCCAGAAGGGTCAGATATCGAGCTTGAATTCACATCGCCTACTCACGAATCAGTGACTCAGAATATCCCAGTTGTAAACGGCAGCGAGAGAGACTGGACACTTTATGCTAAGATTGATGGAGAGGGGTTCTATGGCCCAGAAGAGCTGTACTGCCCCAAACAGACGTCAAAGTCGTACGCACTTACTTTTAAGCCCATGTATGAGGGAGTTGTCAAGGTGTGTTACTTCAAAGTTGCATTATTTTTGTTAGAACCATTCTATTGTGGAGTTTGTAGAATATGTTTACTGTTCATAGGTTAACATTTCGTTGTTCTGAGATTGCTTCTAAGACCTTTTGCTTATGGAAAGGAAATTCTGGGAACAAGTTAAAACAATTTTCATGTGAGAAATTAGTACTGCAAATAGACGCAGGACTCCTCAACATCTGTCACCTGTTGAGACAATTTTTAATTTTCTGGAATTCACAATTTTTGACCCCTTAATCATAGCACTGCCTCCCCTCTTAATAAATAACAGTTTATTTTTTATGACATCATTGTTTATGTTGGATGAAAAAATCCATAAATTTGCCGAAGCCGTTGGGTGAAACCTGATTTGTTTTCGTAGCTATGGTCACCTATTTCAAACCTTTTCCAATTTTCTAAGCATGGGCTTTCTGGAATTGAAAATTTTTATTTCTGTTGTATTTATGATATCATTTCTTTAGATCCTTTTTTTCCTAGGGCATTGACGACTTTTAACTTGCTGCCAAATCCTTAACTCTCGATGTCTTGTTTTAGGGCCAGTTAAGATTGATAAACACAATCAGCGGAACAGAAACTATTTTCCTTTTGAGAGGAGAGGGCAGAAAGCCGTTACAAAATGGCCATTTGGAATTGGATTGTGAAGTCAAACAATCGTGAGTGATTTTCTTTTAGAGCTGCAATGTTCCCAGAACCCAGATATGCACTTTCCTCGTTTATTTTAAACTTTTCCCAATGACTATGGTCAAAATTTATCAATTCCTATGAAAAAATCCTCAATGATTTTATCGTTTTTGTAACGAGATCGTTATATAGGAAATCTTTGCTAAAATCTTTTGGATATAAATTCAGCTGTTTCGCCAAATTTTCCTGTAACAACGAGTTTTCAAGATGTACGTGATTCTACAGCTATTTAACGCAGATAATCATAATTCTACCGGGAAAAACAGGAACCATTTAGCAGAAACATTTTGGTTATTTCAGTGCTCGAACTATTCATGCCCAGACTGCAGTGTTTTGATATGATCAAACAAATGTTATCACCAATCGTGAAAATTACCGTTTCGATTTGCTTCTGCGACACAAACAGCTTCTATCGAAAGTTTACTTTTCTTAGGCCCTTATTTTGAATTTTTGAATTTTAAACCGATTAAATTTATTAAAAAATTTAGATTCAGTTGTTAATTATCAGCATTTGTATAGTTGATTACCTTCAAAAATTCCTTATCGTTTTTATTTTTTTCAAAAAATGCCAATATATTTGAAATTCTTTTTTAGAAAAAGCTATGAATTGGAGATACCAAATGCTACCAATAGGAAAATGGTTTTCCAGGTAATGGAATTGATAATCTGCTGCATTTTTTTTGAATAATTTTCCAATCCATGTGGTAGGTGTTATATTGTAAATGATATTTTCTCGGCCTTTCTTCAGAATAACCTTTAATGATCCTGAGTGCTTCAGTCATGCTTGCTTAATGAGTTTAATCTTTGTTCTTTTCATTTTAACCTTGTATTTGGTGTGTTTTCCTTATAATAAACCGTCAATTTATTTCTTTTTTAGACATTTTGTGACCTAGATTTTATCAGCGGTGCCCCGTTTGTTACTGTACTCCCAAAACAAACAGCGAAATTCACGATGACATTGAAGCCATGGAGAAGAGGCGTCTTCGATGGGATTATTTCATTTGTCTCGGATGATGATGTCACAAAGAGGCTTGGCTTGGATAGGTAAATATATATTACTGATTGAAAATCACACTTTTCTATAACGAATAGCCACATGCAATATGCTTTGGTTATTCTTAATCGTTCATGTCCAATGGAAACTATTTGACTGAAGTAGAGTCAATCTTCAGTTTTTGAAGGTCAATGAGCAGTATTTGAAAAGAGAGACGGAATTGGGACTTTTCTAAAACAAGAAGTATTTAATCATCAAAAACTGTTGAAGGAAATTTCACTCGCATTGCCAGTTTTAGCGAGACATGTATAGCGCTAATTTCATCAAGAGATGCATACAGTATTTTATTTTAGAATTCTCCATGGGCTTTTGAAAGCTTCCAGGCTGTTTATTGCAGTTGCTACACATATGTTGTTGTTATTTACATCTAAACAAGTGAATGCATAAACATAGTATAGTAGAAAGAGAATATGGTTTTCCAAAACATTGCTTTCTATAAGGAAGAGATTCAATGGTAGGTAACGCGATGTAGGTGATGTGTCCCCCACCCATACCCTCTCCATCTGACCGGACACTGACCGATCGTTTGTTTTGCAGGACAATTGATTCAGACAGTGATGAAGATGACGTCATCCTTCCAGATGCATTCCGAGGCAGCAACAGCCAATCGTCAATAAAGCTTCCTGATCTTGCAAGTCAAAAATCGATCTTCAAGAAGCCGTACCGCTTGTGGTACTCAATGCGGATCGTTGCTACACCTGCTCCTCCAGCCAAGGCGATGGAAATCGAATGCCCGTGTCACAACCGTGCTGCAATCGAGATAGTAGTTGAAAACCCAACAAAAGAGAAAATAGAATATGACGTGTTTGTGGAAGGGCCTGACTTGATACCTGGCGATGAAGTGGTTATGGTACAACCTCATTCATCAGGATTTTATCAAGTGGATTATGCGCCAACAGTTGTTGGAAATAGCAGGGGAAGGTGTGTCATTAAATCTTGATATCCACACGTCTGCTAAACCATTTATTCTCTAGTACATAAATACAAAAATTTTCTTTGCCTGCACCTTTATGACATGTTTGGCACGATAAGCTTATATTCATTAGTGCATTTTAGCAAAGCTAGGATTTTCTTATCTAGCCCATTTTTGCTGTGTGTGCAGCTTGTTCCTCCTGTTTTTTGATAAAATTGTTTTTGGCAGCAAAAGGAAAATTGTTTCTAGACCCGCTCTTCAATTTTGATATTTTCACTTTCCATCCATATTTTTAACGCAATTCAGCTATGGTTTCCTTCATTTTTCTCATTATCTAACTTGTAGAGACAATGAAAAGACGCATTTAAAATAGTTTAGACATTCTAAAGACATTCTAAAGCTTTTCATCTGACTCTTCAGAGCATACAACTTCGGTATAATGATCGTAAATATTAGCTAGAAGGGTTGCCTGATGACCGCAAAAAGCCTGAAATTCGGGGAAGCAACTTAGAACCGTCCTGTTCTATACACCAAATAGCGAGCTAGAAAACATACTTCTATATACCAAGTTGAGGATAGAAATAGGACAATCGAGCGCATAAGTTGTAGATGATTAGCGTAAAGGCTATTCGATTGTAATAAATATGTTTGTCATAAACTTGTTGGTTTTTTACTACTGATGAAACAAGCAGGCTGGTCATGTATTTTCACTCACTTTACTTTGCTATATCTCTTTTTTGAATTTTGCATCAGCGTCAATGGAGCCTGTTTGCATCGCTATGAATGATAAATGCCTAATTCTCTAACTTAACTTTTCAGCGTGATCTTTCAACATCCTTCCGTCGGTGAAATCTGGTATGACTTGCAGCTCGCTGCCATTTCTCCGCCTCCTCAAGATCTCCGATTGATGCAATGCCCGTTGGGAAGGTATCAGTCTATAAATACTTATTTAAAATTTGAGACAATATTTCCACTTGCCATATGCCCCGTTTTTTTTTAAACTGCTTGGAATACTTTTCCTCTTTCATCATCTGGCAGCTGTTGTCAGATTTTGGTTGCTTTATCAAACATGAAATCAAATACTGGGAAATATTTTAGTCAAATATCAATATAAATGTGAAATACGCAGATAAAGAGGCATTTTGGTTGAATCGTGGATTTTACGTGTGAAACTGCTGCGATTTCACGAGTCTCAAATACACGAGTCAAATATATGATATTTTTCTTAAAAAATACTTCCTTTTCCAGGTTATAGACATTTATGTTACTGTTGCTTCATGTTTTCGTGCATATATTGTTCTTAAAACCTTGCTTATCTAGGCCAATTTAAGACCAAGAGACAATTGCTAATAGACCAAGTCCCAAAACAGCAATCTTCAATGGTTTTATTTCCTTAGGTGGCAGTTGCCATTTATCAAGCCAAATATCTCGAGATAAAGCTTGCAGTTGTCTGTGTTGATCTGAATATTTGAAATGATATTTTTAGATCTTTATTTGTATTATCATACTTTTTACCTTTCAGCAAATGCCACCAAATGATTCGTTTGGACAATCCAACAGATAAAAATATCACGTACAGAGTATCGTGCTCCAACAATCACAATTTCCGCTTCGATTTCCACGACCAGAAGGTATGCACTTGGTTTTCTTTTTATCGAGTAACAAATTGCTCTGACTTGGATGGAAACGTTATTTTAAAGTTATTTGCTTCTTTGTTGGGAAACATTTAGCTTTTGAATTTTTGAAAATTAATGTAAATTTTATCACTTAAGAGCATTGACACAAGAACACAGCACATTGATTGGTATTTGTCCTCGCTATCTGACATTGCACGAGTAACCTCTGATTTTTGTTCGTTTTTGTCCATCATTCGAAACTTTTAGTTGCCTGCATATTGCAAGTCAACTCTAAATATGATGTTATCATGGTTACGAAATCCTTTCTATGATTTATCAATTGGTTTTCAGATTGAACTACTTCCGCATTCTGGTGTTGAAGTGCCGTTGACGTTCTCTCCGTCTGCACTTGGACTAGGAAGGCACAAGGCTGAAATAGTTTTCAGAAGTGAAAAGGTGATTAACTTCGCATTTTCTTGCTGATATATTTAAATTAAAAGACTAAGTCAAAACTGTGCATTATCAGACACTGCCTTTTTTTCATTTCGTTTTCGTTTTCTGTCAAAGTAAAAATTTGCCATGGGTTATTTGATGAATAATTAATTTCCCATTCTAGCTTGGTGACCTCGTTTTCATTGTGAATGGAAGCGGCCAGACTCCTGTCCCATCGGATGATCACGTGATACGCTCTACATTATCAAGCAGTTCTTCCACAATCATATCGTTTGAAAACCCGTTTGAAGAAGATATTATAGTCAATGTTGATTTGCAAGAGCGACCATTAAGTAAAACAGGTACTTAGTCTTCTTTCCATTACAAACCAGGGTGATTTACCCGGCACTCTAAACATTATCATTATCAAATGTACACAACTGTAGCTAACTATAACTGAAAAAAAGAAAACCTTTAAGGCAGCTTTGGAGAATCATGAAGAAAACTGAATTTGCTTGCTATTTTCCTTATGTCAAAGTCTCCAACCAAAAGTCTACTTTGTTCCAAAGATGTACTTCTTCATTGTCCATTACTTCATTAAAACTTCCTCATAAAAGCTTACTTATATTTACCCTCAAAATTAGAAGAATAAAATTTTTTTGGTTTCGATGCATTTTAATTCGAGTTTCATCAGTGGGTCGATATATTTCCCAGATGTTTTATTCATTTTTAGCCTTTTGGCAAGTCTTAATAACTTCCCAATCCTCTCATAGGTGGCATATTGAATCTGTCTCGCCTACAACAAACGTCACAAGACCAAGCCTTCAGTCTCCTTCTCAGGCAGGCAACGGACATTCTTCTACACCCAAAAACAACTTTAGATATCCCAATATGCTTTGCCCCGGATTCCATGGTGAGACACGAGGCAACCTGTTACGTCATGGCGATAAAGGCCGACGGTTCTTCATTCGAGACACATGGACAGATTACTAAATTCCCGTACAACAGGGAAATGCGATGGGTATTCCCGATAAGTGGAATCCCCGAATCATGCCCAATTAAGGATTCAAAGGCACCACGTATTGAGTGCAAAGCAAGAGCAAGACTTGAAAAGAGGCTGGAGCTTTCATTTACGGGCCTCAATATGAACCTACCGAACTATGCAAGCGCGATTCATTTGAGATCTCTCTCACCAAGTGAAGGCGTAGGGCCAGTTTCCAATTTTGAATATGGTACCGACTACGCATTTTTGCCTGAAGATTTCAAATACTGGTTCGAATTTGGAGACACTGAAGCACAGGTTGCAGTTGAACGGTCAGTTGGGGTGAACCTTGTTCGACGAATGAGTCACAAAGTGTCAGGGGTGGTCACGCTGCTGTTTAATGTTGTCTTCGCGCCGCATAGATCTTTAAGGTAAGCAATGGCTCTAATTCTGAAATATAGCAACCTTGTTTATCAGATACCTAATTCTTTGTAGTGCCTTTTCACAAGACTTCGCATAGATAAATATCGGTTTTTCCCAAAGAACTTTGAAAACACCTAAATTGCAGCAGAATATTAGGATGCGAGGATTTTCAATACTTAAGAAAGATCAATTCATGTTTCTAAGATCGTTAGTGCATATTTTTCATCGTGTATGCTATGTTATACCGGACACCTCAAAATATCAGACAAGCCATTTCGTTCTTTAAATCTATTTTTACGTTCAAAGTAGCTTCTGGGCAACGCACACGACCTTGCAACAAACCATGGTTTGGTATTCACAATTTCAAGTTTGGTGGGGTTTCTACTTTGCAATGTTTCCCACTCTTTGCTCACTGTCTGGTGAATTTTAGTCCCTGAATTTGGAATGTTAAGCCTTTGAAAATTTTTGTATCACTAATACATATCTACAAAGCCATGTCTTTCCCCTTTGCAGTCACTTGGTCCATCTTATCATAACTGCGAGCTCAGGCGGAGTTTGGCGATTTCCACTTCGATTCACTGCGACGGAGCCAGCCCCTGATGACGTCATTCAACTTGAAGCTGCAGGCTTAAACAAGGAGGTTTCTATCGGATTCCGTCTAACAAGCAAATCAGAGTAAGTAGTCGTAACACCGAGTTTACAAACCAAAATTATTTTCTATTTCAAGAAATGAATTATATATTCGAATACCGAGCTGTTAGGAATTTATTGTTATCATTTAACAAGGCTGAACTGTTGAGGGAGAGCTGTGGAAGTTAATGACGTCATTTCTCTTGCAGCTCCTGTGTGCCGTATCAGGTGAGTCTAGAAGCGAGCGGAGATCAGATGTTTTCCGTTACCCCGTTGTCTGGTGAGCTGCCCCCTTCAAACACCCCTGGAGAGCTATTCAAAGTAACATACAAGCCGACATATTACGGGAAAAAGCACATCAGTAAACTGCAAATTCAGGTATGAGTTGTGATGGTTTATGTAACACTGAATCCATTCGATTTCTGTATGATGAAAAATTCAGAATGGTTTTGAAAAAACAAGAATATCAAGTCATGCGTCCAGCACTCTTCAGGGTGTAAAATGTTGGAAGCAATAATCGAAAATGTTAAGCTAATATGTATTCACTGTAATGTTCCACTAATTTTCTTGGGCATTTGAAAGCATATCTACCTTGGTTCAAAAGTCTAACTATGGAAGGCTGAAAGATTTTTTTCGCTGACGACGCCTCGTATGCTGGAAAAATATTAGCTAGCTTGTGCCATATTTTCGCTTTCTAATTTGTCAAACTAGTTTAGATTTGCAATGTACTTTCGTCGTCGTCTCGCGTTGTTCTGCCTATCATTTATGAATATTTGGTTGTGGCTTTGCTTGGTGAAGGGTCTTCAAAAAGGAACAACTCCGATAAAAATCCTGAAGAAACCTTACCACTGTCCTAGAAGATCGTCTTATTTAGTGTCAGTTCTTTGAACAATGGAGCAATTACTAAAAGAATGTGCAGTGTACACAATTCAAAGAAAGAATATTCGTTTTTATTTGCTCGGTAAAATCAATTCTGCATTACTGTAAGTCCCTTATTACTCTGAGAGTCATTGCGATATGTCAAAACGACCTTTTAGTTTTCATGCCAAAATAATGCCAGACTCTGCTGCTCATCCTGTCTTGACAGCTATAACACTGTCCATCCCAAACTTGAGCACTCTGTTGGAACATTCAACATGAAGAATTGTATGATAAATCTGGATATGGAATATGTGAGTATTATCTTCACAATATTGACTTATGTTGACTTCAGACTCCCGACATGCAATGGGTATACGAATTGCGTGGTGTTCTACCTACATACCAGCCACCAATTGCAATGTCATCGCAAGACATGGAAGAGAGGCGTCTTCGCAAGGGCAACAGACGGAAGAAAAACTACGTGAGGGGCAACCTCGATGTCAATAGCACGGCTGTAAGCTCTCCATTCAAAGGCCGCCCTTTGGTTCAAAGGGGGAAAACTGTCCCCACGGAGACACAATAGACTTCAATTCTGTAAATAAAACCTTCCAGGAATTGTTTATACTTTGCTCGTAAAATCTTAAGCTTGCACAAATCCTATGTGCAGCATCGAATGTATTTGATAAAATTAAAAGAATATGTCCTAGGGTGTTCATAGGATGTGAAGAAGGACGAGAGTGTTTTGATATTTCTTTCGCGATCCTAAGCGGCATAGTTTTGCGCAGCCACTTTTTTGAAATTAATTTTTTCATCCTTTTTTCCTAAAGCCCTACGATCGATATTCCTGCCGTTTAAATGAAACACTTCAGGTCCTTCAAATTTTTAAATTCATGTGCTCAATATAACATCAAAACCATATCAAAAATTGCCATTTTTCCTAAGCCAAAGATTCATCATTCCTACTTCCATGAAAAAAGCCATGAAACTTGCCAAAACGTATCTAATGACCCCTTAAATAAAACAAATAGTATGCTTAAGCAGTTCTAACAAGGTTTTTAAAACAAAATTACTCCATCAAAAGTCGCATATTTTCCTAAGCCTATAGCCTTACTTTTTCACCAAAAATTCATCATTCCTAGTTCAATGAAAAAAGCCATCAAACTTGCCAAAACGTTTCTAATTACCCCTTAAATCAAACAGATAGCATGCTTAAGCTGTTCTAACAAGTTTTTTAAAAGAAAATTAGTCCATCAGAAATCGCCAATTTCCCTAAGCCTAAAGCCTTACTTTTTAACCAAAAATTCATCATTCTTAGTTCAATGAAAAAAGCCATCAAACGTTCCAAAACGTTTCTAATTACCCCTTAAATAAAACAAAAAAAGTATGCTTGAGCAGTTCTAACAAGGATGTTAGAACAAAATTACTCCATCAAAAATCACCTATTTTCCTAAGCCTATAGCCTTACTTTTTCACCAAAAATTCATCATTCCTAGTTCAATGAAAAGTGCCTTAAAATTTGTCAAAACGTATCTAATTACCCCTTAAATAAAACAAATAGTATGTTTAAGCAGTTCTAACAAGGTTTTTAAAACAAAATTACTCCATCAAAAATCGCATATTTTCCTAAGCCTATAGCCTTACTTTTCCACCAAAAATTCATTATTCCTAGTTCAATGAAAAAAGCCTTAAAATTTGTCAAAACGTACCTAATTACCCCTTAAATAAAACAAATAGTATGCTTAAGCAGTTCTAACAAGCTTTTTAGAACAAAATTAGTCCATCAAAAATCGCATATTTTCCTAAGCCTATAGCCTTACTTTTTCACCAAAAATTCATCATTCCTAGTTCAATGAAAAAAGCCATCAAACTTGCCAAAACGTTTCTAATTACCCCTTAAATCAAACAAATAGCATGCTTAAGCAGTTCTAACAAGGCTTTTAAAACAAAATTACTCCATCAAAAGTCGCATATTTTCCTAAGCCTATAGCCTTACTTTTTCACCAAAAATTCATCATTCCTAGTTCAATGAAAAAAGCCATCAAACTTGCCAAAACGTTTCTAATTACCCCTTAAATCAACAAATAGCATGAAGCAGTTCTAACAAGGTTTTTACAACAAATTTCTCCATCAAAAATCGCTATTTTCCTAAGCCTATAGCCTTACTATTTCACCAAAAATTCATCATACCTAGTTCAAAGAAAAAAGCCATCAAACTTGCCAAAACGTTTCTAGTTACCCTTAAATCAACAAATAGCATAAGCAGTTCTAACAAGGTTTTTACAACAAATTTCTCCATCAAAAATCGCATATTTTCCTAAGCCTATAGCCTTACTTTTTCACCAAAAATTCATCATTCCTAGTTCAATGAAAAAAGCCATCAAACTTGCCAAAACGTTTCTAATTACCCCTTAAATCAAACAAATAGCATGCTTAAGCAGTTCTAACAAGGTTTTTAAAACAAAATTACTCCATCAAAAATCGCATATTTTCCTAAGCCTATAGCCTTACTTTTTCACCAAAAATTCATCATTCCTAGTTCAATGAAAAAAGCCATCAAACTTGCCAAAACGTTTCTAATTACCCCTTAAATCAAACAAATAGCATGCTTAAGCAGTTCTAACAAGGTTTTTAAAACAAAATTACTCCATCAAAAATCGCATATTTTCCTAAGCCTATAGCCTTACTTTTTCACCAAAAATTCATCATTCCAAGTTTAATGAAAACAGCCATCAAACTTGCCAAACCGTTTCTAATTACCCCTTAAATCAAACAAATAGCATGCTTAAGCAGATCTAACAAGGTTTTTAAAACAAAATTACTCCATCAAAAATCGCATATTTTCCTAAGCCTATAGCCTTACATTTTCACCAAAAATTCATCATTCCTAGTTCAATGAAAAAAGCCATCAAACTTGCCAAAACGTTTCTAATTACCTCTTAAATCAAACAAATAGCATGCTTAAGCAGATCTAACAAGGTTTTTAAAACAAAATTACTCCATCAAAAATCGCATATTTTCCTAAGCCTATAGCCTTACTTTTTCACCAAAAATTCATCATTCCAAGTTTAATGAAAACAGCCATCAAACTTGCCAAACCGTTTCTAATTACCCCTTAAATCAAACAAATAGCATGCTTAAGCAGATCTAACAAGGTTTTTAAAACAAAATTACTCCATCAAAAATCGCATATTTTCCTAAGCCTATAGCCTTACTTTTTCACCAAAAATTCATCATTCCTAGTTCAATGAAAAAAGCCATCAAACTTGCCAAAACGTTTCTAATTACCTCTTAAATCAAACAAATAGCATGCTTAAGCAGATCTAACAAGGTTTTTAAAACAAAACTAATCCATCAAAAATCGCATATTTTCCTAAGCCTATAGCCTTACTTTTTCACCAAAAATTCATCATTCCTAGTTCAATGAGAAAAACCATCAAACTTGCCAAAACGTTTCTAATTACCCCTTAAATCAAACAAATAGCATGCTTAAGCAGTTCTAACAAGGTTTTTAAAACCAAACTAATCCATCAAAAATCGCATATTTTCCTAAGCCTATAGCCTTACTTTTTCACCAAAAATTCATCATTCCTAGTTCAATGAAAAAAGCCATCAAACTTGCCAAAACGTTTCTAATTACCCCTTAAATCAAACAAATAGCATGCCTAAACAGTTCTAACAAGGTTTTTAAAAACAAAATTACTCCATCAAAAATCGCATATTTTCCTAAGCCTATAGCCTTATTTTTTCACCAAAAATTCATCATTCCAAGTTTAATGAAAAAAGCCATCAAACTTGCCAAACCGTTTCTAATTACCCTTTAAATCAAACAAATAGCATGCTTAAGCAGATCTAACAAGGTTTTTAAAACAAAATTACTCCATCAAAAATCGCATATTTTCCTAAGCCTATAGCCTTACTTTTTCACCAAAAATTCATCATTCCTAGTTCAATGAAAAAAGCCATCAAACTTGCCAAAACGTTTCTAATTACCTCTTAAATAAAACAAATAGTATGCTTAAGCAGATCTAACAAGGTTTTTAAAACAAAATTACTCCATCAAAAATCGCATATTTTCCTAAGCCTATAGCCTTACTTTTTCACCAAAAAATCATCATTCCTAGTTCAATGAGAAAAACCATCAAACTTGCCAAAACGTTTCTAATTACCCCTTAAATCAAACAAATAGCATGCTTAAGCAGTTCTAACAAGGTTTTTAAAACAAAATTACTCCATCAAAAATCGCATATTTTCCTAAGCCTATAGCCTTACTTTTTCACCAAAAATTCATCATTCCTAGTTCAAAGAAAAAAGCCATTAAACTTGCCAAAACGTTTCTAATTACCCCTTCAATCAAACAAATAGCATGCTTAAGCAGTTCTAACAAGGTTTTTAAAACAAAACTAATCCATCAAAAATCGCATATTTTCCTAAGCCTATAGCCTTACGTTTTCACCAAAATTCATCATTCCAAGTTCAATAAAAAAAAGCCATCGAAATTGCAAAAACGTTTCTAATTACCCCTTCAATCAAACAAATAGCATGCTTAAGCAGTTCTAACAAGGTTTTTAAAACAAAACTAATCCATCAAAAATCGCATATTTTCCTAAGCCTATAGCCTTACTTTTTCACCAAAAATTCATCATTCCTAGTTTAATGAAAAAAGCCATCAAACTTGCCAAACCGTTTCTAATTACCCTTTAAATCAAACAAATAGCATGCTTAAGCAGATCTAACAAGGTTTTTAAAACAAAATTACTCCATCAAAAATCGCATATTTTCCTAAGCCTATAGCCTTACTCTTTCACCAAAAATTCATCATTCCTAGTTTAATGAAAAAAGCCATCAAACTTGCCAAACCGTTTCTAATTACCCTTTAAATCAAACAAATAGCATGCTTAAGCAGATCTAACAAGGTTTTTAAAACAAAATTACTCCATCAAAAATCGCATATTTTCCTAAGCCTATAGCCTTACTTTTTCACCAAAAATTCATCATTCCTAGTTCAATGAGAAAAACCATCAAACTTGCCAAAACGTTTCTAATTACCCCTTAAATCAAACAAATAGCATGCTTAAGCAGCTCTAACAAGGTTTTTAAAACAAAACTAATCCATCAAAAATCGCATATTTTCCTAAGCCTATAGCCTTACTTTTTCACCAAAAATTCATCATTCCTAGTTCAATTAAAAAAGCCATTAAACTTGCCAAAACGTTTCTAATTACTCCTTAAATCAAACAGATAGCATCCTCAAGCAGTTCTAACAAGGTTTTTAAAACAAAATTACTCCATCAAAAATCGCATATTTTCCTAAGCCTATAGCCTTACTTTTTCACCAAAAATTCATCATTCCTAGTTCAATGAAAAAAGCCATCAAACTTGCCAAAACGTTTCTAATTACCCCTTAAATCAAACAAATAGCATGCTTAAACAGTTCTAACAAGGTTTTTAAAACAAAATAACTCCATCAAAAATCGCATAATTTCCTAAGCCTATAGCCTTACTTTTTCACCAAAAATTCATCATACCTAGTTCAGCGAAAAAAGCCATCAAACTTGCCAAAACGTTTCTAATTACCCCTTAAATCCAACAAATAGCATGCTTAAGCAGTTCTAACAAGGTTTTTACAACATAATTTCTCCATCAAAAATCGCATATTTTCCTAAGCCTATAGCCTTACTTTTGCAACAAAAATTCATCATTC